AGCAATGGATGCAAGCTACAGAAAAAGAGATTCCACCTCAACATTAGGGAGTGCTTTGGTTGTGTATTCCTGCATGGCAACAGGGGGTTGGACTGGATGGCCCTTGGGGTCTCTTCCAACTCTAGGATTCTAGGTTTCTATGAAATCAGCTGGGGACTTAAAAGCACCTACACACTCACAAGCTAGGAATGACTGCCGCAGTTTACTTTTGCCTAAGTATTCTAATAAGAACAGATTACTATGCAGATAATGCCATTTTCTATGCCAAACCAAAAACCTCTTTTTTGACATAGAATAAATCCTAACTGAGAGCAGTCTTTGAAAACAAAGTCCAGTTTTAAGGACTTTTTTTTCCAGCAGGGAGCAAACTAGGAAAACAATTTGTTGCGGCATGTGGTCACATTATTTATGAAAATTGACATCCCTAGTGGTCAGTGCCTCTGTAGAATATATGATAGGGCTCTGAGTTCCTTGATGTTTGGAAAGCACCGCAGTGCATCTTGCATTCAGAGCTTACATTCAGAATTGCAACACATCATTCATCATCATAATCATAGTAAATTATGACACAGAATGAGGAAGAGATTTCAACTCCTATTCTCACGAGGGACTGGTAAGCTTTCAAAAGCAATTACAGTTCATGCAAAGCCATTCACAAATTGTTCATGAATTATTCTAAAAACTCAGCAGGCGGGAGCTTCCGTTTCTCCAACAAGTCATTGATTGCAATGTGAGAAGTGGCTGCAATGTTGGATGAGACTTTCATTGATTCTAGCTGCTTGAGAAAAGCCATGTCTGTAGTCAGGCCAAATGGCATTGATCGGGTCAGGGAAATCTGAAGGATTTGATAGGGATAATGAAAAAAGTGCTCTGAAGTTTAGAGGAAAAAATGGAAATAAAGCAAGAGGAGGAGAAACAGAGATAGAAGACTTCATCACACCAGCCTGGGGTCCTGCCACAATTGCGCTAGCTTTAGAAAGGAAGTACATCGGTTTGGCATGGTTTCTTATCAAACTTTTCCCCATGATAGTGCTTTGACAATCCATGGTTGTGTGATCTGTTTTCTGCATTGCCAAACCCCGCTTTCCAGGAGGAAAGGAGAGATAAGTTATCCCTGGTGCCAACACCTTCCCAAAGTTGTTGTTAATGTTCATATTCACACAGCAGTTCCAGCTGCCAACACCTTCCTGAAGCAAGCTACACAGCAGCCGGTTTCGGGAAGGTGTTGGCGACCACAATTGCTGCAAGGAGGAGAGGAGCAAACCATGTCCATTCACGCCACATAAGAACCTGAAAAGCAGAATGGCAGCGGAAGGGGCCTATTGCACAAAGGGAGTCGTGGAAATGCAGTGAGATTGAGAGCCCATTGATGGGTTTTGCCCATCAGTGAAAAGGTGTGCAGCACTAACAAATGGAATGTAAGAAGCTTTTTGGTTTCATGCATGCATGTAAAGTTTCTTTCTGTTGTTGTTGTTGTTAACTGCCTTCGAGATGATCCTGATTCATGGTGACCCTGTGGATTAGACATCTCCAAGACCCCCGTCCTCCACTGCTCTGCTTAGGCCCTGCAGAATCAGGCCCATGATCTCCTTAATATGGTCCATCCGTCTAGCATGAGATTTTCCTCTCTTTCTACATCCCTCCACATTATTGGTTCTTCTAATGCAGGGGTAGGCAACCTTTTTGAGCCGGGGGCTGGTCCTGCGAACTCCTTTCTACCGCTGGGCGGGGGGGGATGGCGGCACGCACATGAGCGTGCACCCCCCTCGCATGCACGACCCCCCTGCACGTGCGCTGCTGCGCAGCCACCTCCGCATGTGCCACGACTGCCATTTTGATTTCCAAAATGCCGGCCACGACTCGTTTGTGCATGCGCAGTACTCCTGCGCATGCGCAAACACGTTGCGACCGCTATTTTGAAAATCAAAATGGCAGTTACGGTACACGCGGCTGCACG